CATACCTTGGAGGATGTGCCCCTTGGAGGATTAAAGTAGGAATTGGACGTAAAATTTTGTGTATATTTTCAAGTTCAAATGTTACATTTACATATAATTAGAAAGAATACTGCAATTGCTACAGATGGGTCAAAATGGTCCTGCATTCATTGTACGAGGGTTAATTGTATTGGCAACTATATTACATGAAATTTATAATGTTTATCGATCTATATTTTCACCGTGCAAAATTTATAGGTTATTTTTCTCTATAAATAACGAACTTTCGAGGCCCCAGTTTAGATATTAGACACAGGTGTAAAATAATTTTGATCGAAGTCACGAGTTAAGATTCTTTGCATCGCTCAAGAGGATCCCGCAGCGCGTTCATCTCTATGCATCCTGTTGCTGGCACACCCTGTATAAGTGGAGTAACTCAAGCAAAGGAAAAAGGAGTCTGTATCGCGCGAGGAATGCACGGTTGAAATTAGAATGACAAAAGCCGCGCCCTAATGGGCCAGGCAGGGAATGGTCGTTGAAAATCTTGAATGTCGGAAGTGGAAGAGAAACACGAGTAGATCAGAGAAACACGACCACGGAGATCTAGAGGAAGGGTGGAAATCATCTTGAAACATATTCCAGGCTTATCGTGACGTATCTGAAACGAACAGAATTTTCTATTATGTATATCGTGGAGGTACATATACGTGAGTACTCTCAATCACGTTGAATGTCTTTTGTGTCCGAACCGAACGTGCATTAAGTGGCCGATCTGATAACGATTTACATTTTCACCGGGTGTTCTTTACTGATTTTATTCAAATTTTCTTCACAAGAAAATATTCACTTCCTGGATGGAAATATTTTCTTCACAAGAAAATATTCATTTCCTGGAAGGAAATATATCCTTCGTGTTATTCAATCAAGCTTATAAATCGCTTTCTACGAGGTTCCGAACGTGTCGTCTGAACTAGGAAACGGATAACGCGATATCAAAAGTATAATTTACGACTTAAACACTTTAACCAGAGCCAATAGGCAATCACCGATAGTCCAGCTGAATGGTACTTACTTAACTGTATTAAGTGATTACAGTATCTTTTTTCGCGAGACCGATCGAAAGAAATGCTGTCTGTAATGGACAGATAATACAATACTAATGATACTCTAATTACTCAAATCCCGATGGTCAAGCAGAGAAATTGCGTGTTCGGGATTCTTCGTAGTACGACCGCGAGGAACAGTATAACAGCAATCACCGCGAGTATAATAATGGCAATTACAGCGAGTAATAAAGCTATCATTACGATTGCATTAAAGCGCATTCCATCGGGGACCTACCGCAATCTGCAAGGGCGTAGCGCTGTTTTTCCTTCGTTCGGAGCTGCGATTTTCTTCCCTCGATGCTGTTGCTGCTTGTGTTTCGATATCACCATTTAATTTTCCTTAAATTGTCAACAAATTACAGGTTTCACATTTCCCTTGATTAAAAGCTATAATCAGACGAATATTTTTATTGGACGTTTAAAGATATCAATTGTTCAAATATTCTTAAGTATCAGTAAATACATACATATTTCAACTTTTATTTCAATTCACTCAACCCGTTCACTTTTTTTGTCCACTATACATGACATCAACTTTATCAATGGGTTACTAATACCAGAAATATATTTTATCAACCGTAGGTATATAGATTCTTTCATTAAGTGATTCTGAAACAATAGAAAATCAATGTAAAAACTACTTCTTTTCTAAAACCATGTATTTTGTTTGCTGTTATTTTTACATGCGATTTAGTAGTAGCAGAATTTGGACTTTTGCGATATTATAATTTATAGTCTATATTTGTAATATGTCCACTATAATGGACAAATACAGTCAACGATCTCATGGTTAAAGCGTTTATTTATCTTCCATGTTACAGTTGTACAATTAATAAAACCACAAAATGGAGACCGTTCACTTTCTGTGTCCATTATAATGGACATTTATTTGCCGCTATTTGTTTTTGTCGAAACAAACACTTACCGTCGGGATAATCTTATTGTCATGAGTTTTTATCATTTTTAACAAGAAATAAATTTTTCCTATTGCAAAAGCATAGTAAACAGTGATTTGATTAATCGATTATGCTTCTATAGTTTTACAAAAAAAAAAAAATTATCTTCGTTCAATCTCGTTCCATTAAGTCGTTTCTCTTCGAACGTATGTAGTTTATGATTCGTTTCAAACTCTTTTCCAAGATTCCGTTTTTATTTAAAAAAATTTTCTTACACGGTCGTTAATCAAGATTTCCATAGAAACGCTCCGTGTGTTACAGGTTGAGATCTATTTTCAAGGTTCGATCGTGAACGCGCACGGTATTTGCAAACAAAACAAACGAAGGTTTCAGGGATCGAAAGGTTCGCGTTTCATGGCTACGGGCAACGGTGGACTCTCTGCTCTTTATCAATATCGCGATCTCGCCGCGGAGATCCATCAAGCGTGCGCACACACGACCGCGGAACGGATGAATGCTTAATCGATGCAGGCTAATCGATTTAACGAAATCATTAAGCAACCATTCAGCCGTGATTCATTGGCCGCGCGTGTGATTTAGTTACGGTGATACGATTCGCGATCTTCACGAAGTATCCAAACAATTTAACAATATAAATACACAAGAATCTCATTTATATTGACCTTTACTTTGCAAAAAAAAAACTCTCAAGAATTGTTGCGATCTGAAGCAAACCGTTATAAATGGGGATTCCTGGACAACTACGCATCATGTGAAAAACATTCACTGCCCCAAAAATCCTAAAGACAATACATACACCAACCATAATATTGAATTTTCCACCAATCGCAAGTCGATCACTTGCAACGATCGGCTACGAATCCTCGAATTAAGACAGTACATATTCACCTAGTACCTATAGAGGGTGAATCTCTCGCTGGTAGGGTCAAGAGACAAGCCGTCTGTTTGGTCATTTAAGAGTCGCTAGCTACTTCTGCTGAGCAGTCTATGTGTGTGACGGAGACAGAGAGTGTCGGTTTTCGCTCTGCCTCTGTCGCACACATAGGCTGCTCAACAGGGGTAAGCTACCGTTGACACGTTTATGGTCACTGCAGTTAAACGACAAAGCAGGCGGCTTGCCTCTCGACCCTAGCAGCGAGCGATTCACCCTGTACGTGCACGAACGGGCTCGAAGGACATCAAGATGGATCGCAATGCCGCGTCAAGACGTATCGATTTCTCGCGAAGTGTCAACCGCGTGTTCAATTAGACGCGTGTATAATCATCGGCCCGATCCTTCGACGATACTTACAGCTATATCGAGAACAGTTGCGCTTTGTCCACGATTCGATCCAAACTGGCTCCGTATGTGGCGCCCGGGAACAAAGACATTTTTGTCCTCTAATTTCTTTTTCGACCACGGAATAAAGTGCAAAAGCGTCTATTTTTAGCGAATCGGTAGACGTAGCCAGCCGTCGACTATGAATTAATAAACGCGATTATCGATGAATTTATGTCGGTGTTGATACGTTTGACTTTTATGGATTTCTAGGTATCGTGGAAGAAGTAGCATTGGTGGATTTTTTTTTGTAGGATGATTCACTTTAGATTTAGAGCTGAGGCTTTATACATTGTTGGGTACTAGGTTGGTGGATATGAAATTCAGTTTTTCTGCGGATCGAATTTTCTGGGGTCTAGTTTTGTCGGATCTTCTATTGCTTTAGAGCAATATTAGTTAGTTTTGAATACTAAGATTTGTAATAGTAGTATTAAAATCTTATCCGATCGTCATGAATAATTAGAATATTCGTGAGTTTTTTTTTATATCAATTTAAACTTGGGTTCCAATTTAAAATTGGAATCGAGAAGGCCAGAAAATACTATTTGGTAATAATGTTTTAAGAGATATTATTGAAAATAATCCACGACAAGCAGCAGGGGAAATAGTGTTTCAATAGCGTTGTGGAATCTACCTATGGTATGTTTCATTTGTGAGAACGACATGTCATATGCACCAACCTAATAAAAAGAAGTAAAGTGTTACAAGAGAATGTGAAGGGGAAAAAAGTCACCTTGCTAGCTTCATTATAAATTAGTTAAGGCTAAGCAAAAAGACTCTTTTTTTCTTTCTCTCTCATTTCTTCTCAGATTTATGAACATAAGAACATCGTACTTCAGAGTATGATCTCGGAGGTATGACTAATATTTAGTAAAAATATATATTCTTATACATGAATTCATTTTTATATTTTTTCCTTACTAAATAAGCCATTCACAAGCAAAAGTGACTAACTCCACTTTTAAAATTTGTTCAAAATTTCAGTGACAAAGCACTTGACTAGTGTTTAACTTTTTATGTTTAAAATAAATTTTAAATATAAAATTTGTGGAGCTAATCGCGTTAACAAATGGACGGCTCAAGTATCTATAATTCTAAACAACAAACTTTTCCAAATTTTACAATGTTAGAAACGAACGATGATTGACTTCTCGGTCCAATGCAATCGGGAAAATCTCGAAGAGCGATCGGAATGAAGTTCTCCAGGCGAACGGACGTTCCGCTCGATCTGCCTGAAAAGTGACTTCCGTCGCGTCTTTGACGTAAACTATTAATCACATACAGAGATGATAAATGGAAAAACCTGTCGACAATGCCTCACATTGTAACGGAGCGTGCCGTCATTTTTTTTTTACACGATTTGCTAAGACTGGCTACTATGGTAAACCTAGATAGATTTATGTATCCAGTATACTTTATAAAATTTTTAACTATATACAATAATTCTTAAATAATTAATTCTGTAAAAAGCAAAATAGAAACTGTAAACAAAATAAATCGAGTTAGTGTTTCGCTTTTAGTTTTTTTTTGTCCCACTGGAATCCTTGAGTATGTTATCCTGTTCCCGAAAGCTCAGGGCCCTCTTACCAGTTGTACCAAATTAATAAAGTATAGAAATTTTCTACGAAGTGTTGGGTAAAGTCTTAACTAACTAATATTTTGATCTATTTTTTTTTACAGACCACGACACGTCAGCTCCCATTTTGGACGACACTACGTCGGACATTAAAGTTTACGCCGGTGGTCGAACCCGAAGACGCAGATCGTTGTCCAAAAAAAGGTACATAGATTACACTCCGAGCGAAGAGGAGAATCAGCATTTGGTGGGACAGAGTGTGGAGCGTCGAGGGTTTTTACAAAGCGATGAAAGTTACGAGAGGTAATGAACGTCTTCCTGCTTTGATCACGATAAAAATTATATTCTACGATCATTCTTCTGTACTTATGAAACCTCTTCTGTAGAGACGTAAAGATACTTCCTCGATCATTTCTTCCATAAGCATAGATAGAGATCATTCAACACAAATCTTCTTTTCTATTCGTTCAAAATTCCAATACCAAATTTTATAACGCTGTTATGTTTCCTTAGAATCACGTCAAAAATTTCGTTTCAATGTGATCTAAGTATTTTTAAAGAGCAGTTTATAAATTTTTGAAAGTTTAGGCGGATCAGAAACTAAAGAAAAAAGTGAAAAATTGCAGATACTACACCGTGGAACGGAGAAGAAATGATCCTAGGGAGGTCTACAGCCAAGTCTCGGAAATGGAATCGGATCCGTTCGTGACTTGGCGACCACGCCGGGCCCTGCCACGTAAATATTTCATCGAGATCATGGTGGCGGCCGACGCCGAGATGGTGAAATACCACGGCAAAAATCTGACCAGGTACATTTTGGTCCTGATGCACACGGTAAGTGTCGGAAATATTAGAAATGATCCTTATTCTCTCTAGTCTCTAATCGAACATCACACCATTAAAACTCTTCTATTGAAAAAAAAACTTCAACCAAAATCAAATTGTACTTAACTCTCTTATAAACCGTACACTTTCTGCTATTATTATCAGTACAGAGAATTGATTTGCTTTCGGGTCTATTTCAACCCAGGCATGTTTTCATTGTATTGACCTACTCACGTTTTCCTTTAATAAACGCTGTTACAACTTCACATACCTTTCTTCGATGTAATCTTAATCTCGTCTTTTCAGAAATGTTCGCAGGTTTGCGATATTTGCAAAGAAATCGTTACTGATCCACGTGTTTCCCCTTCCTCGTTATCAGTTCGAACGTATAGCTGAACTAAGTACCTTAACAGTGTTAAGCGGAATCCTACTTGACATGTAAAATCTTCGATAAATCATTCCAATCGCTTCTTCAACGATCTTCTTTATTTTCGTGGGATAATACATACAACAATCCCCTTTAGTTTCTAAAAAATTATTGAATTTTCCGTTTCGAGTACTGACAAAAAATATTCCTCCAATCCTGGGACACCTAAAACAATGCGTGGACGTTTTATCCGAGGTACCACCCTGTATACGGGCCCAGGTATTTATTACCCGACATCCGTTAGAAAAGAACGAAACAGGAAAAAAAGCACGGTGAAACAAAGCTCGACAGGCTGCGTGGGTGTATCACTTTGTCCGAGCATGGCTCTGGTGGAGAAAAAGAAAAGAAGACTGGGGGTGGGAGGGCTCATGGGTACGAAGCAAAGCAGGATTAAAAGAGCTCGAGGATCCTCGAAACATCGCGGCGGCTCTCTGTTCGTTCCATGATCGATCTTGCGTGCCAGCGGGATCTGTCGCGAGCATTAAATATTATGCAAATGGCGCCGGTTGCGTTCCTAGTTAATTCTGAGATATCGAAAGGTAGCCAAGGGGAGAACATTCGATCATCGGTCATCGACCGCGTAGCAACCACCCACGGCACTAATTCGATTGTCGCTGAAAAATCATCTGTACAATCTCTAAATACGAAGTTCCTCTTTTTTTTAGGGTACTGAACAACAGACGAACGTGTAGAAAAGAAGTGTTTGTTTTTTATATTCTCGTGGATCGGTTTTGAACGAGGGAAACGTGTCGGGTTCGGGTCTTCTTCGCGTCTGTGTGAAAGAAGATGCATCAGATCGGTTTTATTCTGTTTTAAGGTTGAAAAAGTTACCTTTTAGTTAACTTTTATCCCTAATTGTCCCTGGTCCCTAACTGGTTTTTCTTCAAATGAAAAATATCTTCCAAAGTCGTCTGTGATAAAATGGCGGACGCTGTGGAGAACGAGAAAGAATATTAGAGAGGTAGTGTAAGGTTCTGATTTCCGTAAAACTAGATGCTTTTGGCAGAACACTTTAATTGATTTTACATTAAAAAGAAGAATGTCGAAGACAGTGTATCCTCGCTAGAACAATCGATTCTTTACATCTTCGGTAAAAGGGTAGTAAGAAGACTATCTTCGGAACGTTACGAACTTGTCGAACTAACGTTGTTATTATTAGATTGTGGATTTTCTATAGTACTTACAGTTGTCTATAACTCAATATCAGACTATGTTTAATAAAGTTCAATGACGCTTTCATTTCACTTAGAATCCGATACAACCGTTAACGCTGGAACTACCAAAGCAGTCAAAAGGACTGGTTAACACATTCTTATAACGATGATTAAAATATTACAACCAATTTTCTCGGATCTGTCACATCTTTTATTGCAATATCAAACTAAAGAAACTAATCCCTTGATAAATTTGTATATTTTCAAGAGTATCCCATGTTTACCGACCCAATAGAAATCGATCTACGTTTATCGTCAGTAGTTCTATTGTTAACAAAGCAAACAGTTTCTCTAATATAACCGACAAGAATCGATATTTCCATAAACGTGTACAGTCTAGTCATTATTCTACTCTGTTTTATGTGTTCATATCACCCACAGTCTGTAGCTGACCTTTCAAGCAAACATACCCATAAAAATATAATAATAATAGGAAGGAATACCTAAAAAAGTTCGCCATAAAGCAATGAAAACGTTCTCGGCTAGAGCCAGATGAATGAATGGGATAGAGTGTGTACAAGTTTCGTTTTCGCACGGGAATAGCGTAGGTTGTCTTTCGCAACGAGACGTAACGACGGCCCCGTGGGGTCGTTAATCATCTTTAATTAGCCACGGCGTATATTCGAGTTTTACCGGCGAAAATTTTCAGGGGTCCGCGAGAGATTAGCTGGGCCCCGCCGGTTGACATAATGGACGTCCCTTGTTGAGGGGAATATAATCTGTCGACGGAGCTCGATTGCCGCTGTTCCACGGGCCCGAGATAACCACCGCCAAGCCGTGCGCGCGCGCGAGATTCCGCCGCGGACATTTAGAAGCCGTATATTCCCGAGGAACATAAATTTTAAGAGCAGCCCGCTCCTGCGTTGCCAGGCCTGGCCTTCTCTCCGGGGCTGTGCACAATTCATCGTCGAAAGAATAGAATGTACAAGTTGCACCTCGAGGATTATAAATTCTGACGGGTCGAGGGGCCTACCGATACGATCGCCCCCGGGGACTAACTACCTCTAACGCGACGTTGACATTCTCGGCACGGCAATTGGAGCTCGGATAGAATTGGATCCTCGCTGCTTCCGGGCGACGAGGATCGTAAACCTTCGCGACGGGAATGGCGTGTCGATTGTGCATCGTTAAAGCTTGAACCGTCTTTTGTAATTTATCTTGCTCTGGATTTTTTGGATTCATTTTGGATTGTAAAAAATTCGGTGCTTTATCTTCCCTGAATTGAAGGATAGACGATGTTTCGGATATTGTAATGGGGGTTAATAAGATTTCGGGACACTCGCAGAATGGATTCTGTAATTTATTTGTGATTTATCTTGATGTGGTTCTCCTGGATTTATTTTTGGTCGTGGGAAATTTTGGGTTCTATCCCTCGAAAATCGAAGGGTAAACGATGTTTCGGTTATTATACAGGGTATTAATATAATTGTTAAAATAATTATTAAATATGGGGCACTTTCGCAGGGTAGATTCTACACGTAAAACTAAGACGGAAATCAAGAATGACGAAATTGCGTTCGAGGCTTCGTTTCCGAGTTATTAATTGTTGAAAATGAAACCGACTCGTGAGACGATTGAAGAACGCGGCTCTCAAGTAGAATAACCCGTCGCGTCAGACGCCTGTATTTTCAGTAACTCGGAAGTGAAGCTTCGAACGCAATTTCGTCATTCTTGATTTTCGTCTTACAATTAGTTTGACATGTAGAATCCACACTGTGCAAGCGTACTAAATTTTTATTAACACCCCGTAAAAAAAAGATAAACAATTAACATACAGATTTGTGTAGATAGACAATTTCACTAAAAGTTCATTCTTTGAAATTGTATGTATTAAACATTCACGAATTAGATAAAACGATAGCAAAGTTGCATAAGATCTTGGTGTTGAATCTGTAACAAGACATTCAATACTTACGCTTATTATCACTAACAGGTTATTCTTCTCATAACTCTGAATACGTACAAATAATTCACATAATCACATTATTAAAATAGAATTAAAAGAACCTCCATTTTCTACACGCCAGCTTAATAATTTCCTTCTTAAGTCTTGTTCCCGACAGCTAATTTATACACTCTCTCGAACCTCTACGACCTAACGATAAATGTTACCACTAACATTCCACTTAAGCATGATTAAGAAACACCAGAATCATAATTTCGCTAATTTACACAGCCCTCTGGCGGGGGAGGGGGGAACCTTTAACGCTTCGTACCTGTTCCCGAGCACGTGTGATAAATTCATTCGAACAAACCGATCCGCTAATTACCCGTGGAATTACGAGCCTCGGAATCGATGGCGCCCGACAGATAGCTGGTGTTCGAAGTCTGTATATGCATTAGAAGGAGGTCGGGGCCCTCGTCGCCGTTTCAATTCCTCGAACAAACACGAAAATCACGACCTATCCCAGCTGCATTTGCATTCAATCCGATCGCCCGGCAGAAAACGGAATTTGCATTCGAATCGAAGTCGCTTTACGCGGCGAAAGATCGATCCCCCCCCCCCAACTGGTTGCCCTATACATACATACTACGTGTATTGTGGGGATGACCAATTATATAATCGCCGGCCCAGAATCCTTAAACAGAGCGTAACGTTCGTGCAGCACGTGGGATGTGCCCCACTAAACCTTGTTCTCCCTCCCCTCGCCCCGCTCGCTGCACCCAGGTACACTTTTCCCACTGCAACAGCTCTCCGTAATTTATGCCCCGTGTCGGTCTGGTTTTGCAAGCGGCGCCTAGGAGAGAATAGAACCACGGAAAGGCGATCCTCCGCGCACCAGGGTCCGAGAGGGACTCGTTAAAACACGCGACGTTTTGCAACCCCATCCGCGGTGTTTCTTTTTTCCCCCGAGATCCCTGGGCTTAGACCGTAAATATTCCCTCTTGGTGAATATCGTCGCGTAAAATGGTAATTTTTATGTGACTATCGGTAGTATAACAACGCGTTGTTTGACGATACGCGATGGGCTGACTGCTGATCCGTCATAGTTATTGCAACACTCGATAGGAATCATCGACAATTATTCATTTGTAACGTCTTGTGAAGGAAGGACAATAAAAAATTTCATCGAAATTTCCTTGTGATTAAACATTAGGATCATCTGGTCTACTCCTAATGATTTTTCTAGGTAACTGATCCAGGTTGAATGGATTTATGGACTGATCCAAGGAAAAGTAAAGTCAGTAGGCCATGTAAAATCGGTGGAACACGGAAATCCGATCGTAGCCCGATAAATGAATGATTCATGTAATTTGACGGTTAGCCTGCTCATTGTCAACCAGGTCATTACCATCCAGTCGGTTGCACGTCCCACGCGGATCGGGACCACACCTCAGAAGAGGGCAACATCCCACGAAGCGTCCGG